GTCACTTTAAATATCGAGGAGATCGTGTGCATGCATGGTAGAACCCTCTGGGGGTGGGGGTGGGGTGTCCACTTGCTCAGGCCCCCCTTCTGGTCACCAGAATGGAGATGCGCAGCCAGAGAGAGACCAATGAACAGATACTAAAAAAAGTGTCCACACCTTTATCAATGCAGTTCTGTCAGGCGTCTGTGGTTGCTCTGGTCCTTCCTCTGCTTGGTCTCGACCAAGATGGCGAATCTGGGAGCCGCTGAGCATCTTGAATTAGAAAGCACTGGATTTCTTGCTTCTGCTACCAATTTCCCTAGGTGTAGGCCTTCCAACCTTCTCAATATTCCTTTATATGTGGTTCAGAGTTCTGGCACCATTCCATGAGCCTGCTTGGTCCGATATTCTGTGGTGTTGCTGACGGAGCTCCTCACTGCACTTCCACCTGATCTGCCATCTTGTTTTCCTCTCCATTATTTTTTAATTCTGTGAATTTTTGGAAGCTCCCTTAGAAAGCGTTTGGTGGCCTGCTTTGAGGCCAATCTTCCCTTATTGGGTGTCAGAATGTTGAGGGGACGCCCCAGAGCCTGGTGAGAAGCTGAGAGCACCTCAAAATGGCCGCAGCCTGTGCAAAGGTAGGCCAGGCTAGGCTGCTGCTTTCCAAAGCTTTTCTCATGAATTCTTTAAAGGAAGATGATGTTATATAAGAAACTGCTGAAGTGATGTACGTTCAGAAACAAAGCAGTCTGCAAGCCAGTGGCTAGAGGTCAAGGGCCTCTTTTTTTGTTTTCCCTTTACAGATTCCAGTTTGTCTTAGCAGGAAAGCCTTATGGGGGTGGGGACATAGCTGTACATAGTTTACCTGCTGCTACCTCTCAGGATCAGGATGAGGAGAACACTACGTGGTGAGGAATGAATGATTACATGATCAAAACTGCAGTTTTAAACTTATTGTTGTTGTTAAGCACTGTCAAGTCAGTTTCGAACCATACGGACCCCGTGTACAGGATTTCCAAGGAGTGACTGGTGAGTTTGAACCCACAACACCTTGGGGTCCAGTGCTGATCCTACAGTGCCACATCAAGATTACCTACAGTAAAAATGAGCTTGTATCATATACATATTTTAAAGTTAGGACTGTATTAGAAACCATCTATAGTACCACTTTACAGTTCACTGTTCTTCAAACATATTTTCATGAAAAAATACGGGCCTTCCCTGTCAAATCACTTCCCTGTCAAATCACTCTCTGCTTGAGGTGGCTCACATGGTCAAGGTGCTCAGCTGTGGGGCTGCCTTGGACAGAGCAGCTTTGGCTGGAGACACAGGGAGAGGAACAGTGACACCGTCACCAGTACAAGTGGCGATTATGTAAACTTCATTAAGACTTGGAGCGTCATACCTTTCCTCTATGAGGAAAATGTATGAAATGTATAAAATATTATTACCCAAAAAGGATTCTCCTGGGGACTGAGAAAAAAACCTGTTGTCACGGAATTGATTTTGACACACAGCAACCCTGTAAGTCAAAATCAACTGAAACAACCCTATGGAGTCCTGGTGTGGCGTTGTCGTTATTCTACAACTGGATCGCAAGGTCAGCGGTTCAAACTCACTAGCTGCTCCTCGGAAACCCTATACAGGGTCACAATCTATTTGAAGGCACTTAACAATTACAGCATCAACGCTGTAGGACCAGAGCCGAACTGTCTCATAAGGTTTCCAAGGCTCGTGACACATTGGTTAAAAGTGTGCTAGACAGCTAATCAAAAGGTCAGGGGTTCAAACCCACCAGTTAATCTGTGGGAGAAAAATGGGGCAGTCAGTCTGCTTCCGTAGAGATTAATATAGCCGGGAAGCAGTTCTCCTCTGTCCTACGGGGTCATTACGAGTGGGAATCAACTCAGATGCAGTGGGTTTGATTTTAATCTTTGTAGAAGCAGATTGCTGCATCACTCTCTGCAAAGGAGGCACGGAGGCATAAGTTCACAACTGTTACAACAGAGAGTGATGTGATACTTCTTGTCCCCTGCCCTTCTGAGACACAAGGGGCAGCCTATACCTCCCACTTGGCCATTCTCTCCACAAAGGTTAGTGGATGACTTCCCATACCCAAAGAGGAAAGCATGTGCACACATTTCGGTTTAGATGGCAATGCCCTCTCCTTCCCCCAACCCAGCCCTCTTGAAAGCGGCCTCTGTGCAGGAAGCATGGTAGTGTAGGACAGCTCTTTACTCTCGTGTGGCGCTGTAGGATCAGCACTGGGCTGCTAACCACAAGGCTGGCGGTTCAAATCCACCAGTCATGCCTTGGAAACCCTATACATGGTCGTTATGTGTGGGAATCAACTTGGCAGTTAAAAACAACAACAAACAAAATTTTTTCAGAAGACAGCGCACATACTACGGATGAAGCAGGATACAGCAAGCTTGGGGAACCTGAAGGTCTTGGCCCTCCAAATGCACACAGCCAGGTTGGAGAGCGAGCCACGGGGACATGGACAATCCAAAGAACTAAGCAAGTGTGCATGGACCAGCAAGGAGAGAGCAGGGGACAGAGCAGCCCCGAGGACAGACCCGGCAGGATGTCTCTCCTCCCACAGGACACATGTTACATAGGTGACCCGGCAGTTTACAGACCATCACCACATACCTTCTCGCTGGGCTCTGTGAGGTGCCAGAGGCAGTCCATCATGAGGTACCAGGGCCTCTTCTACAACACTGGTCTTGTGACTGTGTAGGTAGTCACCGTGAGCAGAGTCACTCTGGATGAGAAAGAGGGACTTGTTAATCGACCACAGATCACGGCGTGGCAACTCCCCAAGCCTCACCCTTGCCAACCGTAACTACTCTGATAACAATTTTGAGTGATCCCATAGGTGATTCCACATGAAGGGCCGAGAAAGCAGAGTGCGCAGACCCGCCAGGAATGGAAAGGGCGAGGCGGGTGTGTTTCCATTTCACAGTACCAGCCTGCCCACTCTCAGCTGTCCAGCTTTCTTGGAGCAGGTAAACAAACAGCATATTGTACTCTAGAGTGGCCAAGGCTGCCAATTCTCCACCAAAGTGACCCCGAATTGACAGAACACACCCCTTCACATGAAAGGCGCATGCGAACGGGCATTTGTATTTCTCTTATTCATTGTACAATTCGCATTCACTACTTGGTTTTTGGTCCAAGTCTAATCAGATGTGTTAAGAGTCCTGGTGTGGCGGTTCAAGCTCACCAGCTGCTCCTCGAAAACCCTATATAGGTTCCCAATGGGTTGGAATTGACTCGACGGCACTTAACAACAACAAACAACCAGATATTTTACTAGGAAAATGAGTTTTACAAAAGGTTATCATCAGGAGATGCCAATCTTCTTCTAAAACAAGAGGCGTGTAAGGACAGTGTTGTCAATTCTTGTTGTTGGTGTTAAGAATTGTTGAGTTGGTTCCGATTCATACAGATCCTATATAGGGGTTCCGAGTTAGGCCATCTAATGCCAACAGGGTGCTCTATACCTAACTAAGTTTGCTTAGTCAATCATCAGTGAGCTGGAATAAGCCTTAATTCCCAGGAGATCTGCTGCTTGGACTAACAAAACTGTGCGAATCTGACACACAGCTAGCTCTCCAGAAATCAGACACTGCCATGTGGATGAAGTTACTACGACATACTGGTCACTCTGTGTCCGTTCTCTATCATAACTCAGACATTCTACCCCAGCCTCAAGCTCAGCATCTCAAAGCACCACTCATACCGAAATCACCTCAGTTTCAAGAACCAATTACAATTTTACAAATCTGCAATCAATAATGTATACTGGCTTTTTAAACTGTGCACAGAAATAAGGCAAACACCTTTCCGAAGAATCTCAGTTGAAAGCATTCTGTTCTGCATCCTGCCTGATACAGCGGCGGCTTGCCAGTGCACAACTCTACTTCAGTTTACAATGTTTCTGAGAGCTAGGTTTCTGCCTTCCTTTGTCTCCCCTAAAACCCAGAGACACTGGTTGTCTAGCTAGCACCACCCAAAGAGGTGCATACAAATCTTTCAAGCCAACATCCAACTTCTAAGCAGATATTCAGTCTGGGGGTAGTTACCATTTTCAACACTGATGAAAGACACAAGGCTAAGGATTAGTCCAAACTACGACGTAATCATGTAGGCCCTAACTCAGACCTTACAGTCACTGAGTACTAAGTAGTAAGTCATATTGGCTTGAAAGGGACTTCCATTCTCAAACTTGAACACTACTTGTTGTTAAGTATGTTGCCGTTGTTAGGTGCTGGTTAAGTTGACCCTGACTCATAGTGAGGGTCACCCAATGCACCACAGAATGGACCCCTGGCCAGTCCTACGTCATTCTCACAACTGTCATTACACTGAGCCCAGGACTGGGGCTCCAGCAATGCTGGCTCAAGTGTGGGCCTTAACTATGCGGACTGTGAGGAGGCTTCCTGTAGCTGTCATCCCACTTTCCCATGAACTTTCAGAAGCCCCGTCACATCTCCAAAATCAGTATAACTAGACTGACGAGGAAAGAGAAAAGATACAAACAACTAAAATCAGAAATGAAAATTTCTGGTTTAAATCCACTTTGAATTTTCAAACTACAGACATTATATATAGATATAAAAATATATAAGAAAATATATAAGAGAATACGCTGAACAATTGTAAACTAGCAGATTAAATAAGTTAAGACAAAATGGGCAAATTCCTAGCAACACACTAACTACCTAAATGGATATAAGAACAGAAAATCTCAACAGAGCTGTAACATGAAACTGAATAAAAAACAAACAAAAAAACCCAGCACCAGATGCTATTAACACTACATTTGAAAGTGCTAAGCAAAATTAAGTCAGAAACAAAAGAGCATGTATCATATACGAACCCATTTGTAAAGAATAGTCAAATACCTAACGACATAACTTATTAGTGGCTACGTAGCGTAGTGGTTACGAATTGGGCTGTGAACCACAAGGTCAGCAGTTCAAAACTACCAGCCGCTCCGTGGGAGAAAGATGAGGCATTCTGCTCCTGTAAAGATTTACAGCCTTGGAAACCCTGTACAGGGTTGCCATGGGCCAGAATTGACTCGACGGCACTTAACAACAACAACCACCAGGGGATGGTGTAGCACTCTAGGGTAAGCACTGGGTTGGAGGTTCTAATCCACCAGCCGCTCCTTGGAAACCCTATGCAAGGTAGCTATGAGTCGGAACTGACACGATGGCACTTAACAAGAACAACAAGGTGCTGGAGCAAGGGGGCACTGGAGGATTATTGCTTAAGGGGTACGAAGTTTGTTTGGGGTGATTAAAACCTTTAGACACCAACAGTGGTGATGGGTGCAAAACAAATGGTCAAAATGGCAACAACAAGAAGAAACTATTACATATACTTTACCACAGCCAGATTCATTAATAAAAAATAAAAAATCAGTATAAATAAAACACCACAATCCTCTGACAATTAGCAGTTCTGCTAATTGGAAGAAGTTAAGCAGACTAGGACAGCGTTTCTTTCTTTTTTTTTTAATGTTTTATTGTGAATTATATGATAGTTTACATGGGAGAACTTTAGTTTTACATTCATTCCATCGTATATCATCTCACTACCATGGTTCCAATCTCCTCCATGCATCCTCAACCACCCAAAGGGTATATATCCCACCGCTCCCTACACTTCCCCCTCCTCCCCCCAGTTTTTAGCCCACAGTCCCTTTCCCTCTCTGGGCCAAAAGTCCCCAGTCACTTCATCACTCCATGTCATCATCTCTGTCTCCACCTCAGGCATCTCTGTTTCTCTGGGTAGGGTCCCGCTCTTGGCTCTTCCGTTGATGGTCCCAGAGGCCTCCGCGCCTATCCTGGTGAATCAATCACTCCCTTCCTTGTTACAAAACTTCTACCTTTGCATTTCCAACCCTCATAATCCATCCTGATAAGCATTATTCACTACAGTATCACGAGTTACCCATCTGTATCTCCTTTCATCAACTCTGCCCAGACAGATTGAATAGTACCTTCTGGAGATTCTGCCTTCTGTCATGCTCCCTAGATCCAGGGTCCCTCTTGAAAGCTTGTAAGCCAGTCACTTCTTGCCTTTGTAGTCCCCCTCTCCCCATTTGAGTATCCAATGTCCAAGCTGCCCTTCTCCATCCACTCTGTGTGTGGGGTGGGGGTGTGTGAATGTTTCTTGCTGTGAGGATTTGTTCCTTCTTTTGAGTCGCTGCTCCACAGGTATAGGTCAAGTTCATCAGACTGTATCAGCTCACTCTTTTTTTTTCCCCCCCTCTTCTTTCCTCTCCAGTTGAGCTCCGATCATCCAGTCATCCGGTCCAGGTCACGTGGGTATCATCTGCAAGTGTGGGCGATCCTGTGCATATGCCCTCTCTTCCCGTCAGCCAGTAGCTCCACTCTCCTCTTCGAGTCCTCCGTGGCCACACCACTGTCTCTGGGCCCAAGAGTCTCCAGACCTCTTCACACTGCTTTAGGCCAGCGTTTCTTAAAGTAAAATTATATGTTCTACATAGCTATGTGGTAGACAAATTAAAAATAACACACACGTTCTTATATAAATATGGTAAAAGACGCCCCTGCCCCCAAAAAGAGAAAGTCTTACTATACTGCCTCCATAAAAAATACAGTAGAGTTACTGGGGCAAAGTAGATTGTTTCTTAACTCAAATCACATTTTTCAAACTGAAGTTACTTTAAGAACACAGTTTAACAGCCAAGACAAAGTCTCCTGTTTAATAAGCCAAGGAGGAGAATGAATTTAAGTTCCTATCCAAAGACTAAGTTTATCAAACCTTAAATAACTGTCTTCCCCCCACAGTGTATCAATCTTAGAACCCCATGCAGAAGCTGCTTATAAAATCTGCACATGTACGTTCTTATGAGTTGCAGGGATCACAGTTAGGTGCTTGCTACCCTCTTCTCCTTTTCACAGGCCACATATGCTCTTTACTTGGAGGAGGGAAAGGGTGCCACAGAATCTGAGACTGCTGGTTTCATGTAATCTCAGAGAGAGAGGAATTACACCCAAATTTCTCTAAGTTCAGATTCCCATGGACATGCAATACAGAAGACAGGCAGGAACTGGCACTTTACAATGCTGAGTTAGAGCAAAGTGTACGGACCAGATGAACTAAGTCAAGACTTTTTCTCTGGATGGATTATTGGAAGGACAGTTTAGAAATTCACAGCCTGCAAAAATACAGGAACACAAACCATTAGCATGGGTCCTGCTGGTGTCAACTCATTTGTGAGGGAAAGCCTTTTCTGTCCTCTGACCTCCACAATCGATGTGTCACTTTCATCCAAGGTCTCTGTGAATTCACTCCCTGCTGGCATACATGCCACAAACTTTTATACATGGAGCCCCATCGTGATCATTTAATTCTTGAGGCGATTTCCTAACTGAGGAAAACATTTGTGAAACAGACAAGTAGCTCAGTAGTCCTAAAAAAACTCCTCTCTGAAAACATAACATTAGAACAAAGGACACACTTGCTTCATGCAAACTTACTTTGTTGACAAAGGTCAAGTGGTGGTTGTTGTTAAGTGCTATTTCTGACCCATAGCGACCCTGTATAGGGTTTCTGAGAAGCAGCTGATGAGCTTGAACCACCAACCTTACCGTTCAAATGGCTTTGCAGTCTGGAGCATTAGCCCACAACACCACACTATTTGAGAATCCTGGTGTGGTGATATAGGATCAGCAGTGGACTATGAATCACAAGGTAGGCAGTTCAAACCCACCAGCTGCT